TTATTCTAGTAAAGTTAAGTCACTTAACTTAAGTGACTTAATTCCTTTATCCAGCTACAATTGAGTGGTTCACGTCGAACTTTTAACTAGTTAAGTGGATCTAAATCTAGATGAAAGTTCGACGTGAACCAGGCTTTAGTTCATAACAGAGTTAAAAAAAATAAGGATAAAAAAAATAATCATTAAAAAAAAGACGAACAGCTGTGAAAGAAAATGATAACCCAACCTCAATCATGCACCCTAAAAAAGAAAAAAAAAAAAGAAAGATAAATGACTTTAAACATTATATGTTTTTTTACCATTTAACAAATCATGAAGACATACTGTAAGAGTGGAAAAAAAAAAAAAAAGAAAGATAAATGACTTTAAACATTATATGTTTTTTTAACATTCTACAAATCATGAAGACATAAGAGTGGTTCATCAGTTGCTATACCTTGACTTGTCATCAAATAAAGAATATGGCTACTACATGCACTGGTACAATTTTACAGAGCAGATAGCTTAAGAAATAGAATCTAATTAAATCATAGCTCACAAACTTTTTTTTAAACTTACAGATACTGTGCTTACAGCATTATACCACAACAATGAATGTAAACAACATTATTTTTAAATAGTAGAATTTCTATGGTAACAAATGTCTACACACTATTGCTTTTAAAAATATATAATCTGTGATCATTAATTTAGAAAATCCTTTTATTTTATTTTCATTTAAAAGTTTAAAACTGTGTATCACTCGAAGATACACAGATCAAAACAAACTAGTTTCTGATGATAATGACATTATACAGAATCTTTACTATGAAATCCACTTTGCAAAGGATATATAAATATAATTATTATGCACCTTTTAAACACAAAGGAAAACATTTATTTTCCTGTTCTATTTTTCAACTGAGATGGAATTACTTAAGCATATAATAAACTAAGCACTTAGTATACATATTTCATGTATTAAGCATAGGCCAGTCAAAAGCCAGTGGGAGGAGTCTGGAGGAAAACATCCCAATATCAGACAAGCATATGAGCTGGACAGCAAACATCACTTGTGGTTGTGAAACTGAGCTTATTAATTTGCCAAACCAACTAAAGTTAAAGCATAATGTTTACCATTCTAAACCATAAAAATCTCTCTTTTTGTTTCATCACCTACTGCAGGACATATGTTGGACCCCTTGTCAAACCCCCTCCTCCATGTAGACAAATTTTTGGATCCACAACTGGACAAAACATTTCTTAAAGCAGTAGGTTCAACTTTCTATAAACACATTTTCCATGATGAAGCATGTTAATATATTTTCTACTACCGTATCTAATGCTCTGTCCAGACTACCAAATTTTCTTGTGACAAAAAAAACTGTTGTATGCCCATATATAGTCATGACGTGTCTATATATGGTCATGATGTGATGTCATCATGACCATATTTAGGCATGTCACTTGTTTTTGTAAGATAAAATGTGATAGTGTGGACAGGGCTTAAAGCTCTGTCCACACGATCGAATGTTATTTGACAAAAAACTGTTGTAGGCCCGTATATAGTCATGATGTGCCTATATACGTGAGGTCTCACCACGAAATGAGATGCATCGTTGGTGAAATCATAGAGATACTCACCAAAATAGGTCAAGTCAATTTTTTTTTTACAAAATTTTGATTTTATTGTTTTTGAATAACTTGATACTTATATTTTATTGTGCACTTTTGTAAATTTTCTTACTAAAATTTTTTTTCCCTGAACATATTCTGTAATTCTAGTCCTATTATATATACAGGTTAGTTTATCCAAGGACGTATAAAATAGTTATCTTTGAGGCCGGTTTTCTCAAAACGTGGTTCTCATACACCTAATTTTAAATGCTCACATTTCTGGGACTACTTATCATAGGGAAGCCATTCAAAGACCAAATTAAAGATTATAATGTGATCTAATCAAATATAATATAAACTCAATTTTTGATTTTCTAACCATTCAGATTTTGTGGTGAGACCTCACATATGTTCCTGATGTAATAGGCACGTCACATGTCTTTTGTTAAATAAAATTTGATAGTGTAGACATAGCTTAAGATGAAATGAATCCTAAAGCAATTGCAGCTTAATGATAAAGTTGAGAATGGTGGCGATTACAGTATAACAACTACTTTGAACAAATACCTACCCTGCAAGTCTCCAGAAGCTCAAAGATGGCAGTACGACCAAGATTTGAGGCCGCGATGATGTCATCTTGTTTACACGAGTTGCCTGCACCAACAGCCTTCGCTGTTGCTACAGTCACAGGTTTAGTGCTGCGGATCAAATCCTCCGGAGTATATTTCTTCTCTGCCGGCGTTTGAAGTATCTACGAGAAAATATATAAAGCGTGGTGGTTTTTTTTGCAAGCTATTTTAAATGCCAGCAACCAGATGTATATGCACATGTGTTATTATTGCCCGCTTTCCATGTTGTATATTCTAGAGTTAGTCATGAAATCTTGATTTTTATGATGAAGCACGTAATTTCAAACCATTAAAAAACTAAGAGCAATAATTAAGGAAATCACGTTTAACACACATAACTTCAACCTAGTGTAGATTTTAGAACTTCCACTTAACATTACTCTATCAACTATTTACTTAGAATTTCTTTACAAACCAATAGGTACCTATTTTGGTAGGTGGGTAAATAATACAAATAACTTATTAAGGCATACTGTCTTTAAAATAACTGATAATGATAAACTAATGCAATATAACAAAAAACAAAAATATAAGCACTTCAGTGAACTGCATAATAACCATATTATACTCAACATCAAATTTGATGCTGCTTTCTAAGCTTATTTGAAAATTGAAAAACCATGTTTATCAAGAGAAAAATTATTAAATCAAGTGCTTTAAAGGCTGATTATACTCTGAAAATGACAAAAAATCATAAAATATTAAGTTGAAATCACCTTGCTCATTTTACAGTAACATACAAATTATTAACTTTGAGCATAGAAATTATTGAATCTAAAAAAATGTGTACCATGATTTTAATACTGGATAATGATAAAAAAATAATAAAAACATTTCAGTGACTGGAAGTGTTTCTATCATTTTTTTCTCTAAAATTATGGGTAAAACATTTTTTAAATACATAAATTTCTATGATCAAATTGATAATTTTTATCAAAATGACCAAATTAATTTCAAAAATGATTTTTATGATTTTTTTGCATTTCCCATGAGACAATACATTTTTAATAGAGAAAGACTGTTCGGTTATTGCTTGATGAGTTATAAATAATTGCTAATGTAATAAGAATGATGATTAACAGTTCGCTAGGGCTGGAATAACTACAGTATCTATACTTACAACATTGCTGTCTTCTCTAGAGAGCAAGGATGGGAACTGGTACAAGAGAGGCTTTGGGAGAGCATTATATCTCAGAAAAAACGGAAGTGACTTAAGGGTATCATTCTCGGATTTCATGAATTGTGTACTATCATGCTTTATCTAGGCTTTGTCATTAGATACTGTCTTAGCCTTATGGGAAATTCAACAAATATGCTTTGTAAAAAAAAAAAATGAATTTATGAGAATCAGCTTCAGCATTAAATGCTGGTTAAGGAATACCAGTGGATTTTAAAAGCGTTGTTGGGGTCCATTAATAAATATCACTGATTATTAGATATTGATTTTATTGAGTGAAAAATTTCTTTAAACTGTACTAAAAGGTCATGTATCATTATATAATATTATGTGCTGCTCTAGTTTTATTAATTTATGAAGATTTTGGGAGTGGGGCTTTGTCATTAGATACTGTCTTAGCCTTATCTGTCTTAGAGCCCAATCACATTTAATAGTTACATCTGCTAGGGACCAACTGAGGGCTACATTTTTATAAGTGTGAACAATCAAATTGTTTAAATTTTAAGCCGGCCCAAAGACAACCTTAATTTGGTCCGACTTTAAAGTCGGCTCAGGATCCTAAATACGAGACCTGTGCTGACTTTCTTCATATCTGAACGTAAACTAAACTGGGTCGCCAAGCTTTTATAGCAGTCAATTTTGACATCTTATAACAAAATATTTTATAAAAAAATCTGCTGCAAAGGAGGATGTGTGAACGTTTGCAGTGTGATCCTGCGCCGACTTAAAATACTAACTGTTAATGGAACGGTTGTTTTGAGTCGGTCGTGGTTAAGGCAGCCCTAGGCCGAAATAGTAAGTATGATTGGGCTCTTAGTAAAAATGAACAGCTGCTGCCAGCATCCTAATGAGAGACTTGTTACAAGGCTTCTTACCCTGGCTTCCTGTACCACTGCATCGACTGTTGCTTCCAAAGCCCTTGTACCTCGAAGTGCTTCATCTTCAACACTCTTCACGGTCTTCAACAACGATGTAACATTTGTTACCATCACCTACAGATGCAATTACCAATACTTCATAGTTATATTTAGAAATGTAGCAAGGAACCTAATTTGGTCAATTGTTAATGTCAGGTTTATTAATAATTCATTCATTGATTAGGAGAACTAATTTTTGTTTTCTTACTTCTATTTTACATGTAGTTGTATAATAGTTCTTATAAATAATAGGTATTCAATTCAATAATATATTTATCATGCAGAACGTTTAAAAGAATTAAGTAACATAACATAAACAATAATATATGAAATAATCTTTATGAAACAATAACAAAAATAATAACACTATAATTAATAGACCAATTAAACAAATATTATTAATAATATTAACATTACTCACTATAGATGAAACAATAACAATAATACCACAATAATAGCAATATTAAAAGAACAAATATAACAATAAAAAATTATTGATGATGATAATGTTACAATAAAAGTATATAGAAAATAATTACAATAACAATAAAATATTAAAAAATAATACTGAATAATGATAATGATAATAACAATGATTCTGATTCAGATGATGTTGGTGGTAAGGATGATGAAGATGATTTGTTAGTATATCATTAACATCTATTTACTTTTTTACTTAAAAACCAACATTTGTCCTAACATGGCTTATGTACAAAGCCACTCAAAATAGGCATAAAAATGCTTGCTTAGTCCTACAACAAGCACAATGTCATCACAGGATCACTGCAAATGTGTTGCTAAATATTTTCTCCAAAAATTGAAACAATAATATATACTTTATATAAATGTATTAGTAAAAGAATGTAAGACAGATTTAATAGATCAATTGAATAATATTATAGTTAGTGAAAAAATCACTAAATATATAATGCACATCCCTTTAATTATTGGCAAAGTGGCAAATGCCTTTTATTGACTGCTAAATAACCACTCATTGATTTTCATCAACTGTAGATTGTGGCTAACAAAAAAAAACAAAACAGATCGTTCCCTCTCTGTACTCAAGATCAGAATAGCAAGGTTTAAATTAACTGGTTAAACATTTTCTAAAATTTTATGTTAAACAACATTTGCCACTTTAAAAAAAAAAGGAAAATTATTTAATAATATCAAGAATAACATTAAAAAGACAAAAGGTAAAATAAACCCCATACACACCAGACACCCAACTCTTCCTAGAGCTAAATACTAAAGCAATGCTTTACTACATGTATGTTAGTTAGAGTGTAGTAACAATTAACATTCAAGGGGAAAGAAACATGACGGCACACATTATGGTTACTGACTGTATATCAACATTTGTATCTTCACATGACAATAATTAAACATAGAAACTTTGGAACAAAGGTAAAGGAAGCAAAACTGATTTGTTAATTTGCCAATTTGTTCTACAGATTATACAAATTAGAAGCAATTCTAACATCTACATTTCCACCTATAGTACCAACTAGTATTAATTTTCTCACTGATTCTAGTTGCTAAGATAAGCTGTATATGTTAAGCCACAGCCTTAGATGATAGAGTTCATGATTCTTTGATGACGGTGTATGCCTGGGAAGGGGAACTATTGCACTCTTTTTTATATCCATTTCATTTCATTTCCTTTCTTTAGGCATGAGCGCCAAGGATATGCCAATAAGTGAACTTAATCACTGTCCTACGTGGCATATCCATTTAACAACAGGGGACTTAATGGACCAGTACACCGGGGTAACCCCCTACTCTTCTCGAAGGATGTACTGGGATCTTTAAAGTGCACACAAGCCAAATGCGTACACTGGACCTACAGTTTAAAGTCCTTATCCGAGAAGACTTGTTCCATCACCGGAACCATTGGCGAGTGAGCCGTTCGAACCAGCGCTGATATTAGAGCTGAAGGTTATGGTGCCCCTGACTTCAACTCGCTATATCAGGGTTATAGATTACACTTAAGACACTTGTAGAATTTATGATCTTTCTTTGCTGCCTTTACTGATTTAAGGTCCGAAAATGGTGCTGTAAATTCAATTCTGTATTCTATATTTCAACAATGTACCATCATAAAAAATAGGTTAAACAGCTAGTCATGTTCATTTCAAATAACTCTCAAAAGCATATTAAGAAAATAAAAATCTCAAAGGTAATTTGTGACGATGTAATCTGAACGAATGGCTGTGACATACATCACGTAACATCAATAAACATCAACGATGAAACTGATGAATGCAAACAAGCAGCAACATAGTATCAACAAGGAATTTTGTAACTGGACCTTCTCATCTTGATATTGTCTGTGAACATTGATACTCTATCAACACATTCCCAATCATACTGAAGATAGGTGACGCGTAAGGATTAAAGAGTTTACTTGCATATGCATCATCTAAGGTAATGTGAAGCAGATCGGATTAATAACTAATCCAAAATTATTATTCAATGCGTTTTGTATTATATTTCTCGGGGGTATACGCTTTGTAACTAGAGAACAACAGTTATGAGAGAGCAATTAATAGGGGTTTGATTCAAGTAATATTTAATAAACAAAAACAGTGCTTGTACAAGCATGGCACACATGCTAAGGCAGGTGAAGAAGAGATTAAGAAATAAGACAGGGTTTGGAATGCATAATTGATGTGGTGATGGGATGTAAATGTGAATAAATGAAGTAAAAATTAGCACTAAATGTATACGAAGATGCAGGATAGAGGAAGAGGAAAGGTGTGGGAAACGTACATTGGAAGAGCAGGAATATACAATTTTACAAAGAGAGAAAGAAAATTTTAGGAAAAGGTATGGTATGGGTAACAATGATTTGATAGTGTGAAACACATTAAAAAGAATGATATGGTATGGAGAAATGTAATATGATAGTGTTAAACTAAGTAAAAACAGAGTAACATAGTCTGGTGTGGTAGTGAAAAACAAGTGGTTTGATATGTGTGAAACAGAGTAAGAATTTGGAAGGAATGTAATACAGGTCGATGAAGAGAGTTCAGAATATGTAAAAGAATGAAAATGGATTTGTATAGCGCCTTACACAATTGAAAATCATCTCAAAGCGCTTGATATGAATACAAGATCAGGAGAAATATAGTAAAAAAAGAAAATTGAATTGGTGGAGAAAACTAGGGATGTTAAATGTTGATTAAGATCAGAAAGATATTGTTTTAATACCTAGTATTTGAAGAAAGTAATGTAGAATCTATGGGTTAGCCAATCACTTACAGCTTTGCATGTGTGGAAGCTGAGAGTAGAACAATACTGACACACTGTATTTATACCATATTATGTTGTATTTGAAATAAAAATTTGACTTAGCTATGCATATTTTTGCAGTGAAGTACTGTTAACTTGGAAAAGATGGTTAGTTTAACATATGATGTGATCTTCACAAATTATTTGATTGAGGCTTAATTAGGAGAAATGTTCTAAGCTAGACTTAAGTGCTATTTAAACTACACTTTCACTCCAACTTAATTGGTGGTATTTAGGAATACTAACCAATTGCATGTACAAATTAACACACAGCTGTACTTCACAACAAGTTAGGGTAATAAAAGAGTGTAATATAAGGTAGCACAAAGTCAGTACTTTAGGTCTGAAGCAAGATCCATGTTTTAAAAGTAAGCAAGTCTGTAATATATCACTATGCATAGACATAGTTATATAGATAAACAAAATAGAAAAACACAGTGTAATTTCTAGTTTCAGTAGTAATTTCTTTTCTTAGGAAGACTCTTGCACCCAAAACTCCTTAAGTAAAAATGTAATTTGAACAGGGTACAATGTAAGACGGCTCAGCCTGACAGAGGGAGTTAGAATTGGTGAATTAATAGGTATCACATGAAGGTCAAATTAGGTATGTTCAATATACAATTTATGAAAAGAAGATTATGTGTTGCATCAGTGAGTAAAGTTAACACATTGGCCGATAATAATGATTGTAAAGTTTATGAAACAAGTGTGGATCAAATTGTTAGTCAAGACACAATCTTATGAAATTTCTTTTCTAGACAAACATGATCCCTATTTATTAGTACACAAAAGGTGTCAGAGCTCGAAACTAACAATATTTTCTTACAAACAGAAATCTTGTGTAGATAGATTGTTTTGTTTCTGGAAATACTTTTGATAAGCAGTAAAAAAGATGGGATGTTACCATGAATATGGCCTGGGAATGTTGATTCTTGGAAGATATTCCCACAAATTAGTCAGGGGTGTCTTTATCATAGCCCTGTAATTGTTAGTAAACATCTTGCTAAGGAAACTATGAGTGTTGGCCTACTGGCATATGTTTTCAAAGCCTATCTTTGTTTACTTGCTCTCCCCCAAATCATATTACATATTGTACACTTCCAACAAAATTATCTAGCCCAAGATGAAATACTAGCATACTGTAATGAAATTCTCAAATCATCTAATATACTATTTCTCTTTAATTTCAAGGTGCATCTAGTACATCTCTTTGACAGTCATTTCAAGCATCCATCATACACCCTTCTCTATGTTACATATTTAGTTGTAGACTAATCTCCTAGAATGTAATGGTGAGAATATTAACTATGAATATATTTCACTAAAAGAAACAATAATAAAAATAATAACAACAATACTAATATTAGCCACTATATTGGAACCGGTATCTCAAAGTGTGGATAGTTTATTCCCCGATTTTATTGAATACATAAAAAGCTATGTACCATCATGTTGAAAACGTCTTCTCTTATTGAGGAGAGTATACCTAGTCATAGGCTAAGTTAGTACCATGCCAAGTTCATTCCAATGTACAAGGACAAATGTAGTGTGACCAGTACTGAACTCACGACCATTCAAACACAAGTGAATCGTCTCACTGCTACGACACACGCTTCCATCTTAAACACCACATATTGAGATTGACTTGCTCGCGCCATTCTGCAGCTCGTACTCCTCATCTCAACTCCCACCTCTCGATATCCACAATTTCACCTTCTCCTAATCCAGATTTTCACATTTCAACCCTAAATTCCCTAGTAAATCCAAATTAAAATTTTCAATCCTATATTCTGCCACTCCCCTCCACCTTCTTATTCTAGCCTGCCCTCTCAAATTCCCCATCACCTTCCAGTTGTAATATTGCATCTATCTTTTATAGCACCATTATAGGTACTTTTATTAGATTTAAATAACTTTCCCAATGCCACCATGCTTATAATTTTCATTCAAGCTCTGACATCATTGACAAGCAAACAAGAACACACACAACATGTACAATTAGAAGGTAGTGACTAACAGGACAAGTAAATTAGTTAGCTGGTATTAATTGACTTGCGAACCTTGGCGGACTTCTTGAGGTGTTCCATGGACCTTTGATACTTGTACAGTTCCAGCTGCAGTGCGGTAAAAATGTTTAAAACATGCAACATAGAGGAGAGATTATCAGAGAGCAACGTGTTACCTTTGCATTATATTACAGAACAGTTATGAGAGCCAATCACTACAATTGCTTCATTATTATCTATATTATATATGCTTGGCCTATATTATGTTACCATACTGACTATGTATAAGTCCACCTTTAAAGATGGGCACCCATTTTGGCCGACGGTCGCCTGGCGCTTACAGGGAGTGAGTGCATGCTCACTGAAAAATCTCTCAATATAGTCATGTTAATTAATCAAACCTTTCACTGTACTATGTGGAATGGAGAAAAAGGTTTGCAATGTTCCTAATAAAATTCTTCGTAATATAAACAGTGTAATAAATGGCTAAACACAGCATTAGCAAGTGTAACATCCGCTGACTTTGAGGTCAGTTGTAATAAATTGATTTGAATTGTTTTCATAGGAGATGGGACTATACCCGAGTCAGTATAGTAAAGGATTGTAGTTAAACCGACGAGCTCACAACCTGACGGTACAAAACATTTTAACTGTTAGCTAACACATTTAGATCTAATTTAGACTACGCGTTGCATCAACCTAGAGCATGGCATTATAAACATGCAATTTATCAGGATTTCCTAGACATCTTTAAAAATTTTTTAAATTTTCTATTTATAATTTAATTACATGATTTCAATAAACTTATGTTTTATACAGACTATTATTTTTCCTTTTTTGTAAGCGCCTTGAGCATATTTTTTTAATGGATACGCTATAACAGTCTTATTATTATCAGTACTACTTTAGAACAAATATGACGGCAGGTTGTGAGAGTCGCTTTAAATGAGCAACTCTTTACAGGTATTGTTTTAAAATTATAGATTGTGAGAGCAACTCTTTAATTGTACTTTTGTATTTGTGCCAATTAAACTATATTAATAACTGTAGAGGTACCGCTGCACAAATAACTTACATTTGTAGTTAGTTTTAGCAGAATACTTACAATAAAAATGTTATATTTAGAAAATATATATAATGCTTATATTTTGTTATGGTTAGAAGGCAAATAATATACAGATATATATATATATATACACACTAATAATAGTTGATAAATACAAATAAAGAAATAAACAAATATTTATTATGCGTCAATGGCAGAAAAAATATGAATAGATAATATTGATTAAATTGTTGGGGCTTCTACAAAACATTTCTGTGCGTTAAACCTAAAAAGTACATTTGTTATTATATGCAACATTAAAGGAAAAATAAATGGGACAATTACAAGCAAATTTGAATAATTTAAAATGGAAAGCATTCAAAAAAATTTAGCTGTGGAAAAATTTCCAAACATTAAGAGAAAAAAAATTTGTAAAGTGACTTTAAAAGAACGAGGGAAAGTAATGATAAATTGCTATATAATTTGGATTCAATTGTAGATAAGACAGGTAAATACTTGTTTTATATCATACCTTTGCTGCATTCTTGAGCTGACCCATAGACGGGTCATTTATGCTCTTTCCAGCGGCCACTTTTGTTGCAGATATCAGGTCCCCGAGGGCACTTGTCACATCTTTCACGGCGTTAATCAACAACACCTAAAAGCGAAGGCAAATGAAATTTGAAACTTGAGAAAAATGTACTGAAATCATATTTAAGTACACAGTAATTGAATTTGTTTATATCACTTTAAAAATATTGTAATTGTATGACACATTTGTAAATAATTCTACTTTATTAAATTTTTGTTTTGGCTTGATAAAAAGAAAGCACAAGTGCATTCAAGTGCAGTGTTTCCAAATATTGAGTAAAGTGTATATTTGAATACTGAGCTGGAATTAGTACCCACACTGGATTGTGCAGGTTAACAAACAATAAAAGAGAGAAAGAAAGAAATGCAGGGTACTGAAGCTACAGCAAATGAAATCACTATGCCTATCCATTAGTGTTAAAATGTCTATTTAAAAAATATAGACAATGTCAAAGCAATTACAACGATGAAGAGGTTTCAAATGAATTCATATCAAACAAACTATAACTTGGCCAGTGGCGGATCCAGGAATTTTAAAATGAGGGGTCCAGAGAAGGAACTTCACAGATGGAGTGTCTATAATATTACTTGAGCCCCACCATGGTTGGGGATGTGGTAGAAAAATGTATGAGTATGGCACCTCTAGATGGCCGGAAATGAAGTTTGAGTAGAATTATCCTTTTTTTTATTTTGTTTAAATTTTGAAAAATTTAGAAAGGGGGGGGGAGGGGGCCCCTTGAATCCGCCACTGTTGACAGTGTCTTATTGGTTCAATTACTACACACTACATGTCAAGCTGGCCACTCACTGCGGTCATACAACCATCGGAGAAGTGAGTGGCCCGCACTAGGTTCTGTGGGAATTTAGCGAAGCATTATTGCATGTTAAAGGTTATGTATTTATATATGTTATATAGGTTCCTTGCCAAGTAAACAGAAGCAGAAACGATTCCTATTGTTTGCATAGAACTTAAAATTGATTGGCAGAAAACTTTTTTGTAGAAATATCACTGTCCAATTGGAAGTTGAAGTCTTACAAACCCGTAAAAATTATGGTTTCTATGGTTATTTCAGTTATTTCTAACTGTATTACCCCCTCCTCTAGCATCAAAAGCCAACAAAATTATGATGGAATTCACCATGTTAGAATGTTTTAACTCAAGGGGATTTCACCCTGACCGTCAAAAGAGCTCTTTCCCGACTCTATCAGCCACCCCGACTCTACCAGGCACCCCACCCAGACACTCCTTGACTTCTGGCACTTAAGTGAACCCTTCTTTAAAGAATCCTAGTTATCACTCTGTCTTATATGAATGATGCAATGTTCAAATTGAATGTTGGTAACTGAAAAAAAGAATGCATTAAAATAAAAATTATGAATATGAAGTACAAATATTGAGATGATAGTAATGTAATAAAAATGTTTAAATATTAATAAGCATGATAAAAATAAATTCATTTAGTAAATATCTTCTACAATTCAAAATAAAAAAACCCCACCCATTCCCCAAATCATTTGTGTCTTTGGAGCCAAGCTTACACTGTCATAATCTTTATTAAGTATCTTTATTAAAAGAAAATGAATGGAACTTGTTAATCTAACAATGGCTCACATTTTTGTTTTCATATACATAATAAAGCAAAGAAAGTGATCCCTCCAAAGACATTAGAGTAGTGCATGCATAACTCAATAAAATGGCATCCTCTTTGGTAGCTAGAGATGGGAATGTGTTATAAAATAATGATTATTATGTCTATTGAAAATACTGGAGGTTTATTGCGAAGGTTACCAATATAACACTGGAAATGTATTATACTTCATACCCGACCCAGTTATGAAATGATGATTTCATCCTCACCGCTCCCCCCACACTCCACCCAAAAAATTTTTATTTTAAATACCATACAATTAGCAGATGAAACCACTATATTACCACCATGCTATAGTAACAGGGTCCCATTCATTTTCTGTTCCTTCTTATATCTACATTTGCATATCGTGTCTATGCAGCACTTCTAAGTACAATAGCTTCTAATTCTATTTTTTGAAACTTAATAAATTTTGAATTTATGAGCATTATTTGTAAAATGTACCGTCTGTTGACAACTTTTTAGGAATAACAACTGAGTTGAGAATTTCTATGAAATATAAGAGTAACTTGAAATCAGTTATTCATACAATTTTATTTCATAAATGTCTTTTTTCATTATTTATGTAAATGATAGAGGGTAATGCCTGCAGTAAGAAATTTCGACCAATCAAGCAAACCTATTTAGAAGGTCAGTGTTCTCCCGAAGCTGTTTTAGCTGTCAATTTTACCATTAAAAATAACTGACCAACTAGTAAAAATTGTGTGGTGGTGGCCCTTTTTCAATAAATGAAGATCAGTCCATCCCAGGCCTAAGCTATGATTATATGTATTATTGTTTTTGAAGCCACTGAACTCCACTTAACAGAGGCAACTCAATTTATGAGTGCTTAGCTGGCTTTATATGGACAAATTTATCAGTAAAAATTGTTCAATTGGGAGAACACTGAAGGCATATTTTGTTTAAATGAATTGAATCAGAATTTCCCCAAGCATGACTTCCTAATCACTTCAATAATCTAACCAGATCCATTGCAAAAAAAAAAAAAGTATCAAATGTTCTAAGGTTCCAGTGTCAGATCGCAAGACAATGAAACTTTCTGGACTCTCAATCAAAACATCTACTGACCAATCAGAACAGGGCAACAATATCCAAGGGGCGGGGCTTAGCGAAAAAGTCTATTCCTCCATGGTGAGACAATCTAAATTATTAAAGAAGGGGTGGCTGACCAGGAAGAAGAGGTACCTTATGTGTCCTACTGGTATACTTGTTTGGGATAAGAGACTAGGTAGAAGAGAAACCTTACTTGAAGTACTTTTGTGGAAAGCTATGGCATTAAAAGCAGGCCATACACTGGGTACTGACCACTGACATAGACCAGGTTTAAATGTGATTTTTACTTGTTCTATGTGTGCCTTCTCTGGGCATTCAACCAGGTAGAAGAACATGACTTAACTTGTCCTGGGATAGTTGATCAGGTGGAGGGCCACTCAATCACAATAATAAATAATGATAATAATCATAAATTGCTATTATGAATAAAAACTCAAACAATGTTGATTTTTACCTGTCCTTCAACGTCAGAGCCCCCAAGAGTAGCAGCTCCTAGTTTCACGACATCTGCTAGCTTTGTAATGGTGAGTACAGCTGACTGAGCAGCATTTGCCAGTTCTTCTTGGCTGGACGCAGCCCCTGAAACTAGAGTCTTCGTATCTTCCACCAGTGCCTTTGCTGTTTTCAGAATGCTCTCCCTGTCACAAATAAATCATATAAAATATAAGCTTTCTTTTTTTTTGTTTAAACTGTATGTATTTAACTTTTGACCAAGACACTGAATTTTTGTAAAATACAACAAAAATACAAATTTTATTTATTAATTAAACAAATCAGCAGGGATAGTGTTCAGGCGGGGACTCACAGCATCTTGCAACTATTCGACCGTCGGCCGATGAAGCCAACCCCGCTCCACGTGAGCGGTAGACAACACGATGCCGTCTGCTGATTGTTGGTGGCGGTCTAAACGGATTATCATTAAAAATTATTTGTTGCGCGCACGTGGTGGCGTTGCGTTGGATTGGATTTATTCAGTGTAAACACCAAGGATAGCCCACGAAAGTCTAGAAGAAGACTTACTTCCAGTGGGTTCCTTCTGGTGGTGATTGGGCAGTACACTGGGAGACAATCCCCTAATCTTTTCCGAAGAGTGTACTGCGTTCTTTAACGTGCACATGGGCCATAATGCACACAGGACCAACGGCTTAAACGTCTCATCCGAAAGACGGTGCGCTATTGTAATTTGTATTTCAGCCCTCTAGCTGAAACACAAAGAGAGGCAGTGATGGGAATTGAGCCGGGGACCTAGAGATCTCCACGGTTCAGCGCATACACAGCGGCTACCACCAGATTAGCTGACTGAGCTAGCTGCTCAGTCGTTCTCCATAGATTCGTGTCGGCTGGCGACCATTGGGCGTAGTAAGTGGCCGCCTTAAGTCTATGGTAAGATGCTTACACAAATAGCTAAGTGCTTGTTGACCGACCTGCCACAATACCTACATAAGTAGGTAGCTATCAATAGAAAAATACAAAATATTTTTCCTAGCTAATCAACAGATAGAATTAAGTACAATAAAGTACAATTAGTATATAACATTTACATAGATCTTTTATTTTATTTAATTTTAGTTCAACACTTATGATTGTTTCACAAGCACACATCTCACAAATTTCACTTTGCACCAAATTTAATAAACTACTAACTACTAACATGGAGTGAAACCATATTTTTAAAATTATTTTATTAAATGACTCCAAATTTAAGGTTCTCACCTGTGATCAGCAAAAGATGTGCCATCTGGTTCAGCATTGAGGGTGCCAGCCGTGGCAAACATAATAGTGGTGTCTAAATCCCCAATGATTCCAGACACTGTACTGTAGGCGTTTATACAGGCTTGGGTACCACGGGAACCAGCCGTCAGTGCTGCCATCACACTATTAGCCTAGAAAAGTGTGCAGAATTATATAATTTAATGCATGAAATTGCAGACTGACAATTTTATAAACAGGAAATAGGAAATAGCAATCATAAGTTGCAGATTATGAATGACTAATCGATGACAGTGGTAATAAAGTTTCATCTTCTTAAGTTCACAAACCAGTTGTGGGGTAAAGTAAACGTGTATCATCTTTTCATCCTAGTTTTGCGCAGACCATAACTGGTGTTTTATTGTATTAGCGTTGGCATGTTTTGTTTCAGTTTGAAATAAGACAACAACAGTACACAGTATTATTTTTTTATATTTTTTCAGTGAAGAATATGAGCTACAAGTTGACTTTAATTATGAAAGATCAGGTTCAAGCACTTCTAAATGAAACCTTTGTAAATGGACCTTGTGATGGGGATCTAACACTTCTGAAAAGGGGAACTTATTGACCATTATAAAGTTGACTCCTACTTCTTCTGTCTGTAAAGGAAATCTAAAGTTTAGTAAAAGGGCCTCAAACATCTATATCGGGTCCTAGCACTTTAAAGAGGACCGCCACTTATTTTCTTTAAAGCTATATTATCATATTTTGTTATTATTGCATATGGTATTCAGAGGCATTTTTCTTCCACCAGGCTATTTAAATAGAAAAAAAACATACCTTCTCTGAAACACTTCGAGCACTGTCCACTAACTCTCGCTTGGCAAGGGAATCGGTGGGGTTGCCCTGAACCATACCAGCATTCTTCACCAAGTCCATGGAAGAACGTCCGAGCTCCTGGACACTACTCTTGATCCTCTGACCGACCTAAAAATACAATTCACCCAAATCAGCAATCAATGTAGGAAAACTATCTGTTCCAATACCTTATGAATCAACATAATAATAATGGGTTGAAATAATAATGATGAAATGACGTAACTTCACGTACCTCAGGAGAAGCAGATGCTCGGGCACCACGGGAATCGTGAGCTAGATTGGCATATTCGTGTGACAATGAGTTGGCCAATGTTCCTAATTCACCCACATCACTATTTGACTTGCTAACCTGAAATAGTTTGTGCATAATAATATTGATACTAAAATAGAGTTATTATATAAGCATAACTACACGATAATATTATGGTTGTAACTCAAGTATATATCGATATTTTATCAAAGGATGCAAAATATCATTAACAATATTCATTTGAGCTCACCATATCATGAGCAGTTTTAATAATAGCTTTACAGCTCTTCACCATATTTGTCTGGTAATCTACAAAATCACCATCCATCTCTGTTATGCTGTCGTCCGTCTACAAGTATAAATCAATAATCAATCAAATAATAATTAAAAAATCAATGACCACCAATGGTAAATATTACCTATATTTAATATCAAATGCATTGAAAAAAAATAATGCATAGAATCAAGTCACTTTTTTTCAATATAAACCAACGTCCTACATATCATATATCAATCATTTGAGTAAATTGTACTATAGCAATGTATGTAATTGCAAAAAAAAAATTATAAATACAAAATAAATATTAACCTAAATATAAATATTAACAATTATGGCATAATGGTCATCAGGTATACACACTCGTATGTTGTACTTTCAGGTTACATAGTTGAAATATAGAGAAAAAGCTATTTTTATTTAAAAAATATGAACTTACAACAATGATAGCTTTTGAGATGGTTTCTACCATTCCAGTGACCATGCCGAACTGACTAGCAGCATCTTCAAGTGTGTTGTTAAGCTCATCAACAGCTTCCTTCATGCCTTCAGCAGCCTCATCAATGGCACTGTGGGTGTGTTTAGCCTACACATATCAGAAATTCATTTGTCAGTATTATTAAATTTTAGTAAATTAAATTAGCTTAATTTGAATGCTTAATATACACATTGACACTGCAATGTTAACATTTTATCAAGGTCAGAAAGGTAAGGTTAGACACAGGCTTGCAGTGGAATGCCCCTCACAAGATCTTCATCTTCTTGGGTTCATGCCTTCTTCCATAGTTAATTTATGTTATTTTTTTAAATGTGTGAAATCATAAGGCATCTTACCTTTGGATTTCCACCACCTTCCCTGGCAGCGTACAGTAACTGTAGAGCGCACTCAGCCACCGTCTTTGTCTGATCCAACAGCGCCATCTGCTGCTGAGAATTAACACATTTGGAAGCAGCTCCAATTGCATTTTGAGTGAGAGGATCGAAATAATTTGCCATGGTAAGAACCTGTTAAAAAGAAAGGAACAAACCATAAGGGTTGATAATTTAAATGCAATAATACAAAACAATGGCATTTATTGTTTCATGTACTAGAATGCTATAATATGGAATAGCATGAGTGGAGTTGAATAGCTTGGTGGTTGAGATGCTTGCCTTACAATCCCAGGGTCCTGGGTTTGAATCCTATCAGATTACAGATTTTTTTTTTTCTCCATTTCATAAGCCTGGTTATGAGACCTATTTAACATAGAGCACCATGTGTATATGTTAGTCATGTGAAGGGATTGCCATTTATCTAATAAGACAGTGATTAATAAGTCACTATTGGTAATCCTTGGCCATGTTCCTAAAATTAAGAATAATAAGCATAATATTGTTTCTTTTTTCATATTTTTAAACACAAAATATGACTGACTAAAATAAAAGTAAATATTTATATAAAATATTTTATAATGTTATAACTTGAGGGTGTTCATACCTCATGGCCTAGTTTCTCGGCTTGACCTTTGCCAGCGTCAGCAACCTTACCAATGCTATCTTTAATAAAGTCAACACTGTTTGCCATTTGCTCTGTGTAACCCTGTAAGTGAATAAGGAATCAATCAAAATCAGTGCTGATATCCAAATAAATTTTCATGGGCATCCTGACAACATGTTGTATATTGTTTGTCTACACTATCAAATATTTTGTGACAAATATATTTGATATGCCCATATTTGGGGTTATTTTAAAATCATCATGCCCACATATGGTCACATCTCACAAATTTGTCACATATAAGTTTGATAATGTAAACACAGTTTAAAGAGGGTATAAATATGTCTTTAAAAATGAAATAATAATATGGATTTGTAAAGCACGTACTGTTGGGACTGCTATGCACTTTTTACAATCAAACAGAGGTTGGCGAAATGTTTGCGATTTGAACTCACAACCTTGAGGTCGGAAGTTCAAGCCTCTTGCTATTTATTTCACTTTAAAGTGCCATTGGATAAGATATTATCTACAGTTATCTCTCTCCACTCAGGAGAACTAGTGGGTACAGTATGTGATATTGTAGGTTTAAAAGGCAATGCACTGATTTCTAATATTATGGATTAACACACCCCTAGGCCAGTATCTGCTCCATTGACCAGGTTAACAATATGTTGCCCTTTGATTGTAAATTAGAATGATAATACATTTTTCTAACCAATTAAAACTGATAAAAATAATAAAAGTTCCTGCATTTTTTGCATAGACTCTTCATCTTGTAATCAATTTAAGGATTTTTGTAGCAAAGGTCTGTAAGTCAGCAAAAACCCTTTTAGTTTTTTTTTTAAAGAAATTTCTTTGTGTTAATCAGAAACAAAAAAATATTACATACCTGGTACAGGTATGCAATAATGTATTTGGTTAACACAAAATTTCTTTAAAAAATATCTAAGGTATTTTCTAATTTTTTTTTTGGCAGACTGTAAATCTTTAACAAAGAGATTTTAGAAAAGTTATTTGAGAAGGGCTGATGATAAAGCCAAAAGAAACACAACAAAAGTAGATAATCAAGGTGCATACAGAAGTTAAAATTTACTGTAGAGGTCCCAACATATGCAATCTATATGAAGACCATTATTAAGTTACATTTGATTTGTTGAAAAAGTAAACTGATAGTGCAACATTACTCCACAGATTGAACCCTATCATCAGTAAAAGATAACGTAATCATAACTGAAAATGAGTATGTTGCCCTGTGACTGCCCTAGTGGGAGCGGAGATGATTTGGGAATATGGCAACAGTATTATTCACACCCTTCTAATATCTCACTTGACACAGCATGTGAACCTGATTGATTGACATTTGATTTTACAGGCGTGAACTATGATTTACCTGTAGGTTATTATCATCGACAGGTGCTAGGCTCTGGCTGATAGCAGCAAGTGAGGCTTGATCCAAATCTCGGATGTCCTGGTTGATGCGACCAATCGATTGATCACATTCATGTTGGCCTGGTGCACGGTCCCTGAAGAACAAAAAAAAAAGTATTAAAAAACATAAAAACAAAGGACATTTTACTAGAACAGATAAATGAGAACTTAGCAATCAGAATAACAATATGACAAAAAAAAGAAGCAATAAACAATTAATTGGAATAGAAGACTAGATTTTACATGACAAAATCATGGTTAACTAATAATGAAGAAGTACTAGTCTAATATATACAGTAATTAAAGCAAAGGTAACAATCAAGAGACTAGTTAAAATATTTTTTTTTTCGTGTACACATATTGTCATTGATAATAGTGATTAAAACAGAAGATGTTCATAATAAATGATTATAATAATTAATGTTTGTAATTATTATATTTTATATAATCAAAACTTATTAATGGTTGTGATGTCAAGGTTTTAAAATTAATAATTACGATTATTGTTATGGTTTTTTTATTTTTCTAAAATTTCATTTATATCTTGAACATTTAGAAAGAAATAGCAATAATAGAGAAAAAGAAAATAATGATAAATTAATTTTATCAATTAAAACAGAATATGAACTTTAGTCTACCAAAGGTCACTCATGCTACACAGTAAACTATAAAAAGACAAAACTATCAGTTTCACTAGAAAATATCCCAAAAAAAATATCATTTTGAGAAAGGAAAACAGTAAGCTCAACCGAAGAAAAATTATCCAAAAGAAACACCCAAAATGCAAAAGCAAGCATACTGTCTTTGCAAATAATTGCTTCGAAAAGTTACAAATACATCTTTTACCCCCAAGGTTAATATAGTTATCTATATGGTTTATTTTACCTTCTGTTAAAAAAACTTACAATATACTAAGATAACCACTGGTGGCTCCAGGAATTTTCCAACAGGTGGTCTGAACCAATAGGCCACCTAGAGCCTTGATCAGAGCCCCCAAAATAATATACTTGGTGGAGTTCATGTGGACAGATTTTATGGTTTAGGATGGCCAGTAGTGGCGAAAAAGAAGAAAAAAAATTGGGGAGAAACAAAGGATAAGTATTTTCCACATATTAGTAAACTACAGTATCTACCTATACAATCGATTAAATAAGCCTCTGAAACCCCTAAATTGTCATATTTTTTGGGAATCCCCCCTTCCCACCTGGATGATTTTTGAGTCATTTTGAATGACACCCAACCATGCCCACCTCAGCATATTGCCCTCCTAAAATTTGACCTTGCCCCTCACTTTCCCCCAGATTTTAGACACTAGTGCCGCCATTGGGGATGGCCCAAAATTGTAATTTAGATAACAATACAGGAGGGATTGGCGAACACAGTGACTCTGATTGAATTACCAAATTAATATTTTTAGTTGGCTCATCGTTGCAATGGACACTGCTTGTCTGGGAAGGGAGAATTAGTCTCATATAATAATATACACGTATATAATAATATATTTCAATTGCTTATATAATAACATGGATATAAACTATATAAAGTTCAAACTCTCTCATAGATATGTACACATAGTACAATGGAACACAACTCTACTCTTTCCCATATAGCATACTGGGTCTTTTTAATCATAGTGCCATTATTATGTACACATGAGGAACAGCTTAATGTTCACATCTGAAGGATAATAATTCAAAGTAAAGTTTTTATCCAAGGAGAACACAAGCAAACGTCGGTATTGTCAGGTTTTAAAACCAGGTAACACTGTGCCACCATACCTCATGATTATATGAGTATCATATTTTTGTATTTACATTCATATTTTTTATTTTTATTTTTAGGTGAAATTTCCATTTGAGACAGTTATATAGTACTTCAGTAGTTGTTTTTTTGGTATTTGCTGATTTCAAGCATTTTTTAGTTAGTCACTTTTAACACTTTAGCATGTTTTTTTTAAATAAACTTATGTTCTCTACCATGTTAATTCAATGTATTATAATTTTATCTGATTCATTTATAGAAAATTAAGTCAAGTTTTATATCAACTCTGTTTTTCACCACAGTAACAATTTTATCTCATTCATTGTCTGTGCAATTACAATAATCCAGTACTTTTAGCAATTCACGCAATGTAACAAAACCTATGCTATATCATTTTATATTTTATTGTTTTGACACTTTAAATGCTTTATATAAATCGTTTTGTCTGTTGCAATTGTTAAATGCAATGAATTGTTTCTGGTCTGTATTTCCATTTTGGACAATAAAACCAATTGAATTGAATTCCTCCGTATTCCCTATTCAATGATAAGAACCTTATAAGTTTTTTTGAATTGGTACCATTATTTATTCATATTTTGTTAGCTATTACTAAGTATACGGCTCCTTATATGGCTCCTTATAGCAAGCTTATTAGCATAAATCTACAATATATATTACGTGTCAGTTTTGCAATTGTATAATCCAATTTAGAATATATTTTCTTTAGTAATTAAATGAAAATTAAACAGACAATATTAAAAGTAGAAAGAAACCAGATATCAACAAATATTATCCCAAAATGTGTAGGCAACTTTATAAAACGAAGTGCTTAATATTAAGAGCACTGTATAATATAATGCTTACTGAGAAAAATGTATGGTAACCCTATAATAAAGCAAACAAAAAACACCACTTATTATTTACTTATCCTGTGATAATGTTAAAAACCAGCACCTAATCCTGGTGGGAAGAAGTAGAGCCATGGTAGTAAGGAGGAATTAAGCCTTGGCAGGAAGAAGTCATACCCTGGCAGGGAGATTCCAAGCTCAGGTAGGGAGATATCAAGACCCAGCATGGAGATGCCAAGTCCTGTTAAGAACAAGTTCAGCTAAATTGTTAAAAATGTTGAATATTATACTCCAGTCTAACAATGACTTACCACTTTATAAGATGAAGGTTAAATTCAAAATGAGGCTTAGGAAATAAAGTTGTTTTTTAGTTATGAGAAAAAAAAATCCTTGATTTAATAGCATATCACCCCAGCATTCTTTAGCAAAAGATTGATGGTAACATTTTTATTTAAACTCTGCCCACACTATCAAATTTCCTTTGACAAAAACTGTTGTATGGCCATATATAGTCATGATCTGCCTATATGGCCAAAATGTGATGTCATCATGACCATATTTAGACATGTTACATGTTTTTGAAAAAATAATATTTGATAGTCTGGGCAGGGCTTTACCTTATGGAGGCAATGAGTTTCTTGATGGAATCTGAAACGTTCTTAGAGTGATTAGCAAGTAGCTGCCAGGTAGGCGGGTCTTTGGGGTTGGCAGCCAATGGCTTAGCTGTTTGAATCAGGGCACTGGAACTTGCGATCATCATCTTCCCTGCAGTAATTATTGGCTCCATAGCTTCCCTAGCCTGATAAAAAAAAAAAATTTTACTCCCTAAGTTAGTACAAAAATATAATAAAAATACAAGACAGGTCTTCCTCCAAATAAAGACCACCTCCAATTAAAGACCACTTTTCTGTGGTCCCAAATTAACAAATGTTTTTTTATATTTATTATTCTAATTAGAGACCAAAGCTGATAAAGAGAGTAGAGACCTGTATACATTAATGATAAAAAATATATGTATTAAATTTCAAATGGATATGTTTTAACATCTCAAGAAATGGGTTACATAGATATTAAATGACAATAAATTTATCTTGTATATTTGAATACATTAGTACATTGTGGACTGTTCTATTCATAGTGGGGATGCTCAGAATAGTAGTTCTAATTTGGCCTCTAAATCTACATAGAGTAGGTTCTATAGTCATTTGTTCCAATAACCAGGGTAATAATGTGAAGTGCTGGAGGCACTGAAACTATGGGACTATACAAGTACCATAGTTTCTCTGGTATAATCCCACCCTCCTTGAACAGAAAATTTGTCAATTTTTTAGAATGCGCTTATACCTGGGGAATCCCCTTTTTAAACAAATGACAATTTTTTTTTGGTACCGTATGCCTAATTCAAAGCCAATATTTGATATTATACCTGAGGGGGCTTATACCTGAGGAGCAACAGTACTATCAAAATCAGGTTTGTGCATTGCCTAAATAATTACAAATAAACTAATAACAACCAGAAATGGAAGCCTTTAAGTACCTGAGGAGTGATTTCAGCTGGGACGCTAGCGAACTCTGGTGAGGAAGCAAAGGTGACCAAACCATCAACAGCTTCAAGTAATGGCTTAGTGCTAGCTGCACACTTCTGTCTGTTATCTTCACTGAAGTTGCCATCCAAGGCCTAGATACAAGAAAAAATTGTAAAAAGACATTAGTTTCTTATGATTCAGTGTGTGCACTACTCTTTATAATTACTGAATGTAATAATAGTGATGATGTCAGACATTCTAAGTTAGAATAATATGCAGGCATAAGACTTTTATTCTAAAACCCCAAGCGAGTCTTGGTATGTATGTGATGATGACGGATAAGATGACAAAAAAGTTGGACTAAAATTCAAATATCGTTGTACAGTGCCTTAGATAATGCTTTCATTCTAAGGGGGGCTATAACAAATTATGTAATGAAACAAAGATGTAAACAACAATAATTGCCCTCCTACAGGCAAATTTTTTAGCAAAGGGTACAGAAATATCAATTTCAATTATTGTTGGTTTACAACAAAATAATGATGATAGCGGCCACAACAACAACAATAATAAATAAATTTGAATTTGTTCAAAGTTTCATATTTGACAAACCTTAATACTCTTGACCAGATTGGCTGTATTATTGGCGACATCTTTTGCTGATTGGACGAAGTGTTTCTTAGCAACAGGATTACTGGTCTTGGACGATGCCAGACGACAGACGTTGCAAAGTTGCGATGTGTGCTTGGCAACATCAGTGGCAGCAGCTAGCACCTAATGAAATAATTGAAATAATTTGTTATTATTTTACCATTTAATATTTCACACATTCCATCATTAAGTAATACAAGTAATATAAAACAAACAAAACAATTTGTAAGATTATCTTGAGTAGCGCCAACAACCTGTTGTTGATTGCTTGTTGGATTCAGCAGATTGTTACACGCCGCTTGGATAGCCTCGTAAGCTCTGGCAAACTGAGACTGGTCAACAAGCCCTGGGCGACCTGCTACACTTGATGGATCTGATATACCGACCAGGTAAGCAGACTACAAAATAAAAGCAATACATGGTATCTAAAAGGGATCTGATATAACAACCAGATAAATGAAACATATCTGATTTAATTATTAACAGTAAATAAAGTATTTTTTTTCATTTCATAATATAAGCAATGAGCAATGATCAAACGATCTTATGCAAACTATTTAATATATGTATTTTGAATTTACATATTGAATGATATGTGTTTAGTGGTAAAGAATTCTACTTAGTGGCAGTCTCAAATGAGAAAGATTTATTGATGAAGTTTTTAAACATTTTAATCACAAAACAAAATATAACATCCAATACTGAGTATTATTTCTGCATTGATAAATCTGAAACAAAAAGGTATTGTTTTTTGCTTCCCACATTTTCAATGAGGGGGACAACTGGGGGTGCATGCTTTTTTAGGGGCCCTGCACATCCCCTAGATACACCACTGTTTTAATGGCTGTTGATGTATTCATAACCCATCATTTCCTTTCTCTTTTCATGACTTACCTGTGCTGCAGCTTCTGCCAATCCACACACAGCGTCCCCAGCACTTTCAACACTCTTGCCAAATCCTTCTAATTCTCCATCCTTTGCATGCCTGGTAATACCTGCCATACTGCCCCCAAGAGCCTACAACATTAAGGGCAAATCACAAGTTTTAAAATTCAAGTTTTAAAATTCATACAAACAATAATCAAACCAAACTTGAAATGTCACATATATTTATGATTGGTACAATGTAAGTACATTTATTATTATCAATTACAATAATTTATTACATGTTAATTTATATTATTTTACTTTCAAGTCCAGTTGATATATACAGTAGGGTGAGCTCTTATCCACTTTTCTCTAGCGAAACACCCTGTACTTACTAAGCTGTGATTGGCTATAAGTATCATTATCTAAATGTGTCATTAACCTTTAAAATGTACTGAATATTGTGACCATCACATGCATACTTGTGATTGGTTTTAAAGAGAGTAAATGATTAAATCATTGTAAATACCTTCGACTTTGCCATGACAGTATCTAAGCAGTCAAAGTATGATGCATCGTTCACGGGCCCACTGACATCATCCAAAATGTTCTTAATGGTTGCAATCTTACGCAACGAATTGTCGCACTCTTGTTGGCCGGGAGCGCTCTGCATGAATGTGTTTATCAAGTCATTAATAGCTTCTGTTACAGCCCTAAAATATTATATAAAAATGTTGGTATATGATGTTGATATAGAAAAAAAATTCTTATGTGTGACTCTTCTACCTGGAAAATGAAGAATTGCATCATTTTGCATGTCAAGTTGTTGAGCAGATAAGGCAGGGGCACAAAATATTAGTATTCAGAGTAGCGCAAGTCTAAATCCGAACTTGCCACTGAATCCAGTGGTAGAAGAAGAAGAAGAGAAGGACTCAAAACCAAAGGCCAAAACTGGCTTGTGTGTACAAGAACCTTGTGTGTCTTCTGAACATTTTATTACCATATAGAAACTTTTTCATTACAGCACCATCTGTGGTTTACACATAATAACATCTATAGTAATTAAAATCATCATCAGAATTTTTTTATTTATATATTTTATTTAATAAACTATATTTCCTGAGGGTAACCTATCAGGCAAAGCTGATCATTGGGGCAATTGACAATAAAATGCAGTTACAAAGAACACAAAATATATATATATAAAACAGTTGCAGACTGCACATGGATATAAAAATGAATATATATTTATAATACGTAATTAATTTAATATTTCAAATTTTATTGTTTTTTCCTTTGTTAATTGAGGATACAAAACGATCAATCCCCCTAAATTCACCCCACCTCCCACCCCTGTACTTCAATGACACGTTTTCCTATATTTCTTCAAAATTCAAATAAAATAAATACAAGTGAATGCTCGGCTTACTTGGCTGCTGCTGCTAGTTGGTTCTTGGCATTGGCTGCACCAGGATCTATGGACATTGATTTGACCGACAGAAGAAGCTTGCTGGATGACACTGAGATGGCCTTCAGGCTGGTCACCATGTTCGACTGCGCCTCTTTGCTCTACAAGTAAAGAATATTTTCATAAAGTTAGTACCATCTAATTCCTCTTATTCCCATTCTTACTCAAACAAAACTGTCAATGCTATATCCATCCTTTTATATTTATCATCCTCATAATATTCTACTTCAAAACTATAGCTAAGTTCACAATATCACATTTTATGTGACAAATTTGTGTGATGTGCCTATATATGGGTATAATATCATATTACACCCAAATACAGGCATATCATATATTTTTTTTGTCACATAAAATTGTATAGATTGGACAGAGCTTAAAATATAATATGTTGAGTTCTTGAACTTGATCAATACAATTTGATATAAAAATACTGTATACTTTTGTATACACCTAATAGCTGTTATTAAATAAAGACTTTTATGGTAAGAAATATGTGAATCGGGAAAAATATATTTAGGACTATATACAGCATAACAATATACGGTCAAATTCCTCAATTACTTTAAAGTCAACATCAAATTTTTTTTCTAAACCACATTTAATTGGTCAACTTACTGGGGCAACCCGAGCCATTCCCATGCCTGCATCCATCATATCTCTGAAGTCATGTGTAAATTCAATGGATGCTGTTGAGAGCTCTACTGGAGTGCCACGTGTCGCTGTTACAAGTTTGCTGGATGAAACGTTCAATCCTTGAGCGGCCTTGCTTAAGGCTGCCTGGTGCTCTGGGTAACTTTTGTTGCTAGTGTCAGGATACTGAATATAAATACAGTCATGTTAACAGTGTGGCTAAATGGTAATTATTCTGTTATTATACAAAAAACTAAATAATGTTACAAAATGTGACTATAAAACCGAGGCACACACTGCTCTTATAATTCATCCCAACGGCCATCGGACGATGCGATTCCAAAAAGAACGCAATGAGACTATGGGTGCCAGAATTCTCTTAAGGCTGCTATTGACAATCAGCAGATGTTGCATTGTCGAGTATTTCACTTTATTTATTATAAATTTGCTTTCAATCTCGGCTCTCACAGAGAGTCAAGATTTGTGCGATGGTACAACTGTTTTATAACACTGTGTGCCCCGTTTATGTATGGATTAAAGCCAAAATACACAATATTTACTGAATTATACACTATATATAATTAGATCCAGAATTGATAAAACCTGAAATACTACTATGAAAAGACATATATTGTGAAATATATAAAAGAAACTGAACCAGAAAGGTGTGGAAGCCGGGTGGGTGGAGGGAGTGTTTGTTGTAGGGAGGTGTCAATGGGGTATGAAAATGTCTTACTCTTAGTGAGAGAAAACAAAACAGAATTAATATAAGGTAGGCCTTAGCAGTTTTTATATTTTGGTAATTTTTAAATCACTCATATCTTCTGGTTAAAAGAACTAAAATTAAGTGCTAAAGAGGTATTTATTTATTTTATTCATTTATTCGAATTCTCACAGGCAATTGCAGTATATAATAAAATAACAATGAGATATAGTTGACGGAAAAGGGCACCTAATCGCACCTAGCGGCAAATCAAATCCCGATTTACACAGGTAACAAATAAAAAATCAAGGATATAAAATTTTAAAATGTAATACTAAAATATGTAAAATAGAACATTCTTAATAAGGAACTTTCAGGAATTACACATGGATGTTTCTATGACATCACATGTTGCTTATGCAGCCAATCAGAGAAGGATGGCTAGAAACAAGACCTGAATGCAAGCAGCAGGTTTCGATTAAATGACTGACCAAATACACTGCACAAAATTAAAAATACATAATAATCTATCCTGACAGAATTAAATATATTATACTTTTAATTGACTATTAAAATCCAAACATTTTTCCCCCAAAAATAATTATCAAGTCTTTTTATTGACTTGTGCTGAAAAAAAAATATCTCAGTGAAAAAAAAGAAACTAACATTAAAAAATAACCAAAATATAAGTGAAGAAACAAAATATATATAAAAAAAACAGTTGACAATGACAGCTATACAGAATACTACCTGATAAAGATAGGCAGGGTAACCTTTAGGAACAGCGCCCTCTAGGCATTGCATCATCCGCACTTGTAAGGATACGCTGTCTGATTTGAGCAACATACTTTGTCTCTGTTTAAATCATCATCACATCCCAGCATGCAGCAGAAATTGTTCAAGTAAATATGTTATGCATAATCTAATTTTGTTTCCTTGTTCTACATTAGCCCTAATGAGTTAGTATGATTGATAATGGTGTAAAATTAAATGCTCAGATATTTTGTGATTGTTAGTTTTTACAATGAAAAGGGGGCGAGGCAATAGCCAGAATCACATTGGGATTCATTTCCAAGTTTTCCAACATGCACAATGCCAAGGGCCGCAATATAAAGTGGAAATAAATTGTATCAATAGGATTAGAGTATAGAACAGGCATGTAAATAAATAGTTCCAGGGTTCTAGGACAATAATTATACCTCACATTACATGGAAAAGGGATAATAACTGTTATCCACAAGCAAAAGTTTGCAGGTATGAAAGGCAAATGATGCTACTTATTGGACTATACTACACTTGTCAGTCAGGTACAATGGCTAGATAATGCTAACTATCGAACTATTAGAGGAATTAGCCAGGCAGTTGGAATGGCAGAGATAGAAGGCATGGGATAGCATACCTTGCCTGTGGCTAGCCCTTTGCTAGCTTCCGTGACAGCTCGGAGAGCCGAGTCCACATCCTTCTGTCCTGGTAAACAGTTAACACAGTTGTTCAGTGCATGTGATACAGCCTTAGCAACCTATTGTATAGATAATAATTGTAAAAAGTGTTATTTACTTTATTAAATATTATCAGTACATTGATACAATATTATAAAATGATTATATTGATTGATTGAACATTTCATGAGGGCAGCCCTTACTGATGTTTAACCTGAAGTGTTTTCAAACCTGTCCATACCTATTTGTTTCAAGCACATTTTGTTTTCCCACATGAGCGCCCATGTGGATTGTGGTTGACAAAAGTGTGACATAGCTTCCACCTTGTAAAAAATGTACTTGAAGTGTTGAAGCTTAGTGTTTTGACTGCAGGGTCCTGGGTTCAATTCTTGCGACAACAACAGGACTTCTTCTCAAGAGTAAAAACAACTCCACTCCCTAAACCTCATAATGAGACTTCGCTGATAAAAGCATCACGTTATTTCATTTAATTAAGAGGGCCCCTGAACATCAGCCGACCTTCTAGGATATGCTGGAAGGGTCACCCCTCTATATGGTTCAAAACATTTTTTTTTTAAATCTCACCTGTGCAAGTCTCTGCTGATTGCTTGCATCGTTAGGATTCGCAAGAGCTTTCTTTGATTCATTCAGTAGGTTCGCTGATTTATCCATGATATCCATAGCGTGATCGATCAGCTCATCCTGGGCCTTGCGGTCTGGCGTCGTTGCAGCAACACCTCGTACAGCTCCTGTCAGATTCTTCAATGCATTAGCTGTGTCTCGGGCTGCAATGCCAGTGTGGTTCTTATTACCCTGTGCCGCTGCTGTAAGAAGCTGAGCCATAGAAGCCCCAACGCCTTTAGATGTAGCACCAAGCTGCCCGGCACAAGATTCGGTCTAAAAAAAGATAATATTTAATATAATGAATGGTTTCTTACTGTGACATATATTAGTACTTGTGACATCATAAGCCATAATGTATTATAATTTTCCATTCTTTGTCAGTTTAGTGCTACCACTACCAATTAAAATTATCCACATTTGGTGGTTCACCTGGGTTTTGTTTTCCATTAATGCTAAAGTTGTCACTTTAATTTTTTTTATCTTTTAGAATAGAGTTTTATGTATTTCTTTTCTGTATACTTTATTTATTTATTAAGGTATAACACACAAAACAAAACAACAGCCAAAGGTTGAAAACGTTTGTTTACAATCAACAAATAAAGACAACATAGGAAAACAAGTCAGGTGGAAAAATACATATCGAAATATCAAAACATTCAATTAATTCCAGTAGAAAAGTTAAAAATTAATATCATATTACAATATATAAGATGTGTATAAGAGACAGAGAGACGACTCGTCGCGCCACGGATCGTTGTTTTTAGCGACGGTCCTCTCAGACGTCCACCGACGGACAACGACCTGGCGAGAAACCGCGAACAGAAATCTTCGGCCAACCGTTGGCCAGCGTGTGCACCCTGTAACCTATGCCTAATGATATGCACATAACACTCAACTATTCCATCTTTGTTCTAACCAAAGGTCCAACAGATGACTTGAAACGTAATAGGCACTACTACAAAATAGCATCCAAAAAAATCCATTGTTAAATGAAAATGAATTTTTTATTACATTCTAGATATTTGTGAAGAATTACTTACTGTTTCTCCAGGTAAAGGCAGCAACTTGTGCTCTTGTGCAGCTAGTTTGATCTGCTTCAGTTCATCTTCTTGGGCTCTGATCATGTCCATTGCGCTGTCAATTTCAAGGTCTCCACAAGCCTCCTGAGCCTAGAAGCAGCAAACACCAAATGGTAAGGGAATATTTTTCGTCTAGCAGTACCTATATTGCTGAATTTGGCACAGATCCAACGCAATGCTTATCTGATTTAAATTGATTTTTTCAATACCTCATTACTTTATACAAGCATAATTATACAAAACTGAAAAATGTTGAAAAACCCAATGGAGATAATAAGAGACTTATTTCCAGAGGGGTCCTGTTAAACTATGCTAGTCTAACAGGGTATAAAGTGTCTTGGATACCAAACAACTTTCTACCACCATTCATTTTCATTTTTAAAGATAAATTTCAGAATTCGTAAAAAGAAAGGGAAGTAAAAATGACAGGATCTACAATACCTAATCATCCTAATTTGGAAACCTATTGTTATTCTACAAATTACCTTAGTAGATGCCGTTCTAAGGTCGTTGAGTGCAGTAGCCATGTTTTTGGCGCATTTGTTGAGCTGCATCCCAGCTGCTTGGTCAGCAACAAATGGAATGGCTGCTTTAGCTGCTAAAACCATCTTGGTCCCAGGCTGTGTTTGAAAAAATATGTGAAGCTATTAGAATACACATTTCAAAGACATCAAATCGCTTTCAGACTCGTAACCCAGGGCAGATTTCTGACCATGTTCACTTACACACTCAGACTTTCTCTCACTCTCCAAAATCTATCCTTTCTACTTTAAAAGCAATATACTGTCTGTGTCAAGCTATATTTGAAATTCTTTATTTTTAGCCTTGAAAAGAAAATCAGAATGAAAAAAAAAAAATCTTTCCTCACTAATTACCAGATGCATAAATTATACCATTCATATAATCTTTACAGCATTTCCTTTTTTTTAAATATTTATAGAGGGTTACCCTTCCAGTTTAGCTGATAATCAGGGATCCATTTAAATATATAAAATAATAACATGCTTCATAAACTAAGTCTCACTATAGGGCTTAGGTAGTGGAGTTGTTTTAGTTGTGAGAAAAAAAATCCTGTGCTGTCACTTAGATTAGATGTAAGCATCTTAACCATGAAGCTACATCTCCACTACACTGTTCATAGAAAAGTCTATATAATACCATGCTCCCAAATACAATACCTGTATATAATTTTGACTAGCATTGATTAGGTTCATCTGAGAGGCTGGACATTCTGTGTCAGCCCCATATGACTTGATGCCTTGAACAAGCTCTGGGATGTGCTCAACAACAGACTGAAAAAAAACAACATAAATATGCAATTCAAATGTCATATATTGAGCAGAATAGCTCAGTCAGTTCAGTAGCTAACGACTATGAGCCTTCTAGCGGCCCCAGCAAATTCAAATATTTTATTTTTTTTTCACAAATAACCAAGGCCCTTTTCTATGCCAAAGTCTGCTGAGTGATTGGGGTTCTTTATTACCATCACTACTGCCTGGGGCCCTTTGCAACCCCTGGGGCCCTTGACAATAAAGTAATAAACACATCGCGTTGAATATGTGGGATATGGGTTAATTTCTGGAAGGCTCTTGATTGGAGGAGACAAATCACTCCTACCAATTTTATTAGTTTATGTCTTAGACACTAACTTGGATGAACCTACAGCCATAATTTTGACACTAGTTCGAACAGAACACTCGCCTATGGTTTTGGCGGTGGAACAAGTCCTCTCGGATAAGGACTATAAACCGTAGGCCCAGTGTACACAATTTGGCTTGTGTGCACTTTAAAAAACCCTGTACATCTTTCGAGAGGAGTTGGGTGTTTACCCCGGTGTACTGGTTCATACAGCCCATGTTGTAGACAGACAAGTGTAGCTGGTACCGGTTTGCCGGGTAGCTTAGGGGAGAAGCAAGTTACAGTAAGAGCTACAGTAGTTCATATCTCGAGCGCTTTGAGACCGTTTCGGTATAAAACGCTATATAAATCTAACTACATTACACTATACGTACCCTGCACTCTGCAATTAGAGCCTGATGAGACGGTTTGTTGCGGTTTGTCCGCTCTGCTCCCTGAGCGGCTGCAATGCATTGGGTGGCTGCAGCGACATTGTTTTTGGCAGCATTCTGTAGTAAAAAGAAAAATTTAACAATTTCAGGAATTGCCTTCAATAACATGTAACTCTAGTTAAGTTTAAGTCTAGGATGCTTATAACCTATTCCACGTTCATAAGTTGGGTAAACATATATTCATTTTGACAACTTTCACAGGGGTGATCAAACAGCATATTGTTATTATTGTAATTCGCAGGGGTAGATCCAGAGAAAAATCTGGGTTGGGGCTGCATGAAGCACAAAGTGGAGAGGGGGTTGGTGTTTAATAAATTTGTTTAGAAATGCCTGACCATAGGCAGTGTTGCATGACATTTTAGAATACTATACTTCCTTTTTCTCCATTAGAGTCTTCTTCCATTATTTTCTCTCTTTTTGAGAGATAACCCTGGATCTGCCCCTGGTTTGATTTCAATTCATTTATTTCTTTCAAATCATTAAAGTTTCAGGTATCTTAGTTACGAAATTTCAGAGATACATCAAATTAAGCTCTTTGAGACATAATTTATTAGAGTGCTATATATTTGTTTGTTTTTTTAATACACATTAGCCAAAAAATGTGTAAAAAAAAAAAAGCAAGCACTATAGAAATGAGGCTCAAGAAATACTGAATAATTATCAATATTATTAATATAATAATTATGATTATTTATATGCATGTAAATTTTGATCCAATTCAGTTTGTACTGCCAGGTCAAAACATATTTTTAATAAACCATTGAAAGAAATATTATCAATACCATTGAATATTGATACAATTTGCGCATTTGAATGAGAATTCCAATTAATGTGTACAGTACGTACCTCAAGCTGTTGTAGGACACGCTTCTTCTGTGCCTTAGCAGCCGCAGCATTGGTAACATTACGGAGGTTCTCAGCCGCTTGTATCAGTTTCTCTTGTTGGGCAGGGTCTTGTGGACTTTTTGCACAAAGCTGTGGACAAAACAGTGCAACTATTTAGATTGTAAATATTCATTTGATTAATATTCACTCTGTAAACTGATTATAGTGCAAATATATATTGTAAGGAAAATTAGCTGAAATCTCCAGAAGCTGGAAAACAACTGAGAACAAATGTAAACAACTGACCTTGGCCGCTTCTACCATGCGGGCTGTAGCATCAGCAAGAACCTTTGCAGCGTTGAGAAGACGCTTTTGGGAGTCCCCTTCACCAAGGCCTTCTGCCTCGAGTTTAATAGCATTCACCAGTTGAGAAGTAGCCTACAAATAATACATCAAAAAACATCACAGAATAAAAAAATCTACACAGACTGCAAAATAAATAAAAAATGGGTAACACACACATAAGAAAACAATGTATACAGAATTAGAAGCACACATGCAATGTAAACACAAAATTAATTAGACTTAATTTCCATTGCAAGCAAATTAGAAATAACCTGAGCATCCTGACAATGGGGGCAGCAGATATGAAGTAAATACATTTTTTTTACACAATTCAACATTGCTGACCTGAGCAAGGACTTTGGCCTGTTTCACCATCTCCGCCACATTGCCAACGCTGCTGAACAGCTTCTCTGTTGCAACCATGATACGATCACACGACTCCTCATACACCTGGTTTTGTTTGGTTCCACTGGTTCCCTGTTTTACATGCATAAGGAGGTCGTTCAGGGCCTTGGTAACGGCAGTTGCCGCATCACCGACGTTCTTCAGAAGGTTTTCATCTTCAGTAGCATCCTAAAATCAAGAAATAAATTTTCAATTATAATTTTTTTGTTTTGTGGATGTATTTAAAAAAATTTATATTTTTTAATTTGAAGTGTCATCTACCAATATATTTTGTTTGGTACTGTATGTTATATTTTCCAATAGAAATTGGCTAAAAAATTATTACTATTAATGTTTTTTAAACCATTGTTGAAATATTATACAAGTTTGAGGTGAGTGGTTCACAAAATCCATGTGTAATATAATTATACTTCAAAATATTGCTTCATTAAGATCACAGATAAATCAACAGATATTGAAATGAGAGTATTATTCCCATGATAACAAATTGTGCAAATATATAAACACCCGAAATGTAATGCTTGAAAATACACATACAGTAATGTTCTGTTAAATGCCGATATAGTTGTAAAATACAATACAATACAATAGACAATAATAGCCTAATACTAATAGGATAAACAGTATTTCTGATGTAAATACCTAAATTGTAATCTTTAAAAGCAAAAACCTTAAAACCAAGCCTAACATCATGGTAACTTTGTTAATTGTTTTTTGCTCTGGAGTACTAGCTAATTTTTCCACAATATATGAAAATATGCTCATTGACTTTGCTTTTTTTGCAGTCACATTTGCTAGATAAATTAGGAATAAAAATACAACTTCATTTTGTGTCACCTATCACCTTTCATATGGTTATCAAGTTTCAATAGAATGTTTCATCATCTGACAACTGCCAAAGGTGCTGCTTCTTCCATTACATCTTTTAAAAGGTAAGTCAGATTTCAACACTTAATTGATGTTAACGTTTTTGTATCAATTTATGTCTTAATTTGTTGCTTAATGTGATTTTAATGTTGTTTCATGGCTTTGTTGTTACTCAGATTTGTTACTCAATCACCATGAAAAAAAATAAATAAATAAAACTGAATATATCAGTCTAATCAAAATCTAATCAGAAGCGAAAACATAGTCAAAATTTTAAAAAGAGCTATTCTATGTTTTAATTGCATAAGTGTATTTTCAATATTTCATTATTAGAGAGCTTTTGATTTGCACGACAACGCAACTCTAGAAGGGATTCACACATGCGTGACTGTCGTATGTTCTCTGCACAACGTAGATTTGGCCAAACTGCATCCTAGAATTCACATGAAGTGAACTTAACGTCCTTGCATTCGCAGATGAAATATTAGGGACATCATCACGTTCTAGATTCTACTGCATTGGGCAATTTGAAGCTTCCTATTAATATTCAATGGACAAACACTATTTACAACATAAAAACATTTGTTATATCGTACTAAAATGCAGTGTTCTTCAGCATTAGATGCCCATGGACCTAAAATGACAATGGAAAATAAGAAGACATTTGAATTTCAACGATGAAAAACTGGAGCTAAATAATCCAGTACCTACCACTCATTCACATATCTCTCCAGCAAATGACAGTGCTCATGTTATAATTATTTACAGTGGTCAATTCCAATCCAATAAGACATCATTAAAAATGGAAATAAATTTTGAATTTAACTGTATGTAATTGAGTGATATGTAAATTTAATTACTGGAATTGATAAATTATGAATTGGAAATGGCACATTTAAGGAGTGCAATTATTAATTCTGAATTTACCGCTACTGTGACAAGTGATGTAAAAGATGAGTCTCTGGATGATAAAAGAAAAATAAAATCCTCTACGTACAACAGAAAAACCCCGAATACGCCTCTTAACCTGTGGACAGATGGATGTTAAAAAGTATCGAAATACTAAACAAAACAAGTAAAATGGCAGTCCTATAGGTTCATATTTTAATCTTGTTAACTTGGATTCACTGCTGTTAACATGGTGTTCGGTTATGATGCAGGTAGTTAAATACAGAGATTTGAAGTTAGGCAAATATGCAGGCATGAGAATATTGCTCTGAAAACTCCTACCCCTAGTGGGGGTCTTCACATTCACACTCTCTGTTAAGAACTAAAATAAATTGTAAATTTAATTACATATATTTAAGTTAATTATTAACTTAAATTTTAAAACCTGAATGAGAACAACTTTAGCGCGAGACCGTGAGACAAACCTCGGATGCATGAGTCTCGATGCCAAATGTGTGAGTCTCGGCTAGGACTGTAAATATATCTAGATACATCAGCTGACTGTTTGAATGTAGTGTCTTCGGGAATAGGATATGAACGTTATACTGCCCTCTACCTGTCATTGAGAAACATCTAACAAAATCCTCTGTGCAGTACCATCTTAAAAAGATGTTTGTTAAATAATTGTTGATGCTGCATTCATTTAAAATCAATCCATGCATCAGCATTTGCAAAATATATACAAGTTTCATTATTGCTTTACATTCTATTTATACCAAAAAAATTATCTCATCGAATTTATACATCTACAAAAAGTCTCTTGTTATGGGGTATTGGGAGTGGAGTTGTTCTAAAAAAAAAAAACCAGGAATCCCATTGGATTTGAACCCAGAAACCTGGTATTCCAATGCAAACAACCAAACCACCAAGCTTAGCTCCACAAGAAATATTCTCTTTATAAATGAGAACATCCACATGATTCAGATAGTTGGTAAAAGCCTGTTTTTGTTACATATTTACTTCTCCCTATTTTAATTTTTTCAATATTTTGGAAAGTGGCGATGGGAAAGGGGGGGGGGTTCAAAAGGTGGAGAAGGGGATTGAACCATTAACATGCAGTATGGGTGTGTGGTACCTGTACTTTCATCTGGATTGCCATTCCATATTTGGGTTGCTGTCAAATTATGAATTAGTTCAAGCAGAGGATGCTAGATACAAGCAAAAATAAAAATGTAGAGCAGATAAAAAATGAATAATGAAATTAACAAAGGAAATGTTAACTTAAAAAATAAATCAAAATTATTCACTTTTTATTTATCACTAATTTCATACCAAGCTGAAATTGCTACTATGTTATTTTTATTTTAAAATAATGTCTCACATATTTTTCTAGAAATGTAATTATGACACTTAATTGGTAGCACCAAAATTAATAAATTGAATATATTACTGCAAATCTGCATCATCATTTTTACGTATGTACGTACAGTATTTGTAATTTTGATAGTTGAAAAATATATATACCATGAATGATAAACAATGCCTTTAGTAACAATTAATTCTGTTTGTTTCTTTCTAAGAATGCAACTTTCCTTTTTATAACCAATTATAATCTACATATCTGGTTATAGACAACTAATTATCTGTTTCTCTTTATAGTAAAATGACTTTCCTGCAATTCTGGCAATTAATACAGATCAAATGATTAAATACATATTCAATGTTTCGTTTGCAACATGTTGTGCATACACTGTACAATGCATTGGTTAGTAAACACTCTACCTTCACTGAATGAATCTTCCTCATGCCTGTCAACTATAAATAATAGAAGCTATTTCAACTGACAATCGACTACAAAAAAAGACCCAACACAAAAGGAACCCTGAAAAAGGGATTTACATTATGCGGGAAGGGGGTGGGGTACGGAACCAGGGGAGGCTTGTGAAACCCAAAAATGGGTTTGCAGGACGTTGACCTTCTTTTAGGTACCTTGTAGGATGATGCAGCATTGTATGTATTAGTCTATATCTGCATTAAATTGCAAGCATGACTGGGAATACCTTCCAGGGAGTGGAGGTGGTTGAACTCTTTCGCTATTTTGGTTATGTATCCAATTACCAACAGTAGTGACAACAACATGGCTAACGCCTTATATTCCTTGGCAAAAAAGGCGTGGTATAAACCCTATATTATTATTTTGATTACTTAATAATACAAGTTTAAGGGATTCTCTATGTATTTTCCTAATCTTAATCCTGTCCAAATAATCCTGACCTATCCTCACCTTGCTTGAATCCACTACTCCTTCAACTGACTTGGCAACCAACTTAGCCGCTTCCACCAGCTGCTCTTGACAAGCAGGGCTACTGATTGTCGGGGCAACAACCTACAACATTAAAATTCAATGTATTAGCTATCAAGAAACTATTTTTCATTGTGAAGTATTATATCTTGGTATAAAAAGTGTTCATTTTATTATTAACTATTTGATAATTAAATTTTCAAAATGAAAGTTCAGTATCTATATTAAAGTGAAATCACGCACAAAAAAAAAGAGGCTTTTGGTAGGAACCAAGTTCATGGAGTTTTTAGGTATGTATAATTGGCCAATATAATGTTACAATATTCTGAACACTGCTACAATTTGTCACCAAGTTTACTTTCTTTATGCCACCACCTTATCAGATACAACCAAATAAAGAGCTGACTTACTTTAGTGCATGCTACTAGCTGAGATGTATGCAGGGCGCACTGTGTAGCTGAGCCGATTACTTTGTTCTGTTTGTCTTGACTGTCAGCCTGGCCAGCCACATGCTTGGCCTTCATCACAAGATCTGATGTAGCATTGGCAACTGCCTTCGCCAGGCCTAGCAAAGCATCCTAACAGAGATGCAGAGTTCATTTTTATCATCATTAGTTTCAAATACTTTTTTTACTTCAATGAAGAATCAGAGATTAAAATTGTTTTCTTCAAGTTTAATCATGTTTTTTTTTACCAGGTTTAAAAACAATATAAAATAAAAAAGCTTTATTTTTAAAAGATAAATAAAATGAAACATGCAAAAGTAATACCAACTTCAGGAATAAAATAACATGCAAACCGATAAAAATGAAGGAAGTGGCTTCATAAAAATTACAGTGATTAATAAAAAGTGAAAAATGATAACACCAAAAAATCATAACAAAATATCAATTATAATAGAATTATTAATTTTTATATTTATATTTTAAAATTTTAATTATTTTTGCTAAAACAAAAAAAAAAAAGAAAGAAAATTACAAAATCACAACCAATATACACCACATTAAAATATACATAGTCAAAAAGCACACAAACACAGACACCACCCAAAGATACCAGCTGCAAGGTGTACAATAGGGCAGGCAATACAGTGATTAAAAGACTCTGTACCTGTAGTCGAAGTTGAACAATTGTTTGCTTGAATTTGGAATAAGATTGAATTACAGGTTAAGGTTACACAGAATAACACATTGTATGCATATTTCATAATGTTAAATTTATTTCTTTGTACTTGCCAATTACGGAACAGAGTGGGAATAAAGGAGGGAAGCGGACTATTAACCTAAGATGAATTAAACCCACACTAAACCTCTAACATCCAGTAGTGGCTCAAGGTCATATATACAGAGGGAGGACAGGTAAAGCTGACAGTTTCTAGGCTAGGGCAATGGCATCCACAGGCAAAGGATCCAGAGCAATTGTGGGCCAGCCTAAGCTATTTTGAAATGTTCACATTATACCCAAAGAATTACTGTCCCCACTCCAACTACCCAACCAAGCTGTACCGACTTCTGTGAGACAATTGATAATGAAGTATTATAAAGATTAAAATATTATGGGTTATTTTCCGGAAGAATCTTGCTGTCCTGATATCTGGGAGACTCTTGCGAATTCCGGGAGACTTGAAACCTCTGGACAAGGCATTTTCATTTCACAATGTAACAAAAAAATTGATAAAACGTGACACAATTTTGAAATTGTATTGACTGCCACTGCTACTTGTAAACTTTGAAATTACATTACATCATAATAAAAAAAATACCTGGAATTTTGGATCCACATCGCCAACGTCACCAAGAGACTTGAGCAATTTGTTTTGTGCCTCACCGACCTTGTTCGCTGCATTGATCAGGTTTTGTCGAGGCTATAGATAAAAAATAGAATTATGATTGTATTTTCTAGTTTATTGGCATAGGCCTAGACATGACTGCAGCCATACAGCTACTTGTAGCAGTCTAGCTACAGATTTGAGTGCAGCCACATTCATTATGAGCATGTCTAGGCCAAGCTAGCAGTCTGACTGTAGATACATATAGGGCATCATAGCTAGAAAATTGACCAGACAATCAAACTGACTGCCTGTCACATAGCTGCTCGCATTTTCTGGTCTCTTTGGGGCTTCTGCTAGGCCTAGTTGGCCAAATGACTGTAGCCACTTAGCTGCTTGCATTATCTGGTCTCTGGGGCATAGGCTGGGCCTAGCCAGTAATTTGACTGCAGCCATATTGCTGCTTGCATTTTCTAGTAGCTAAGAAAAAATAATACATCCTGCACCTAATCTAGAAAGAATCATGTGTTACTAACCTCGCTGCTGTCTGGTTCCGCAGCCTTCAGAAGATCAGCGAAGGCATCCATTAGAGATCGGGCGGCATTCATAATGTCATCCCCACCACCACCGTCCTTCTCAAGGAGAGACGATAACATCTTGACACCCTTAGTTAACTCTGACAGATTGGTAGAACTGAGAACAGAAATCAAGAATAAACGTGAACACAGCATGCAGATTGTTTTATGCATTATCACAGGAGTTGCTGGTGCAGCATTTATAGTTCATGCTTTAAACCTTGCAGTTGTGATTTATATCCCACGCTGTCCATTTCAGGGGTCTACCTGGGAGACACCACTTTTGGGAGATCCGTTTTAAAAAGCTTTCTTAATACCTAATTGTATTTTGCTGTGCAGGGTGATACCCATGGCCAACTATCTTTAGGGATACAATTATACTGTAATACAAATATGCAAATAATTTCAATTTCCAGACAGTGGATCACTTTCAGGAAGATATTTGCTGCTGAGTGCTAGAAGGAGAAAATAATGATCCATACCAAAGTAATTCAACATTCATATCATAACATTTTCTCTTAAAAATATATTGCTATTTAATACCTACAATCTAAATATCTGTCCCTTATACACATCT